CAGAGTTATCATTCCGATACAAATCCTGGCTCGGAGATTTTGTCATATCCGATTTTCCTAAACTGCGTTTAGCTTTGGGAAGGAGCGATCGCTTTCTCGTCTCACAAGCAGTTATATGACTTTTTAGGTATATGAGTCAAAATAATGCCATTGTGTATTTTCCAGAAAATACAAAAAAATTACTTAAGGGGGTATTCTACTGTAGAATTTTGAAAAAATCGAAAAATTTTTTTTTCATATTTTCAAAGTTTAGTTATTCAAAAATATGTCAATAAAAGGATTTTTCAAAATTACTATTAATTCCTGAGTTATAGCCGTTTTAGTGACGTGGCCTCGGTTAGGGTCCGACTTGTCTCAAAACTTTGAACGCGTTTTTCTCGGAACTACTTTTTTCGAGCTGGCGGTAAGGATATCTCGAGTTCTAATGAACCGATTTACTTCAAATTTGGAGAGAAATCTTCTCTATACATCGCTTTATCGTATGGACCTTGCCCAAAACTATAACTTCTCATTTAGTATTTTTAAAAAATTCGGACTTGTTAAAAAAACATGAAAAAAAAAATTTTTTTTTTCAAACTGCCGCCATTCAAACAAAACAAATTTGTTTGACTTATCCAAGGTTCATACGATAGCGGCATCTATTATAATCAAGAATCCATCTATTTTTTATGTTTCAAATCACCAGGAGGGTTGGAATCATGTACGCCAGGACACCCTCTTTTTTTGGGAACCTCCACTTTGACTGCTCATAACTTTGTAAATTTTAATTTTTTTTTAATAATAATTTTTTTATGTAATAATAAAATATCAATAAACAAATGATAAAAAATCGATAGTAAAAATATTATTTGTTTCCTTTATACAGCGCTTCAAAAACCGGGCGAAATTCATGACTCTACAGTAGAATACCCCCTTAAGCAAATATAACTACTCTCTGAAGCGGAGGCAAATTGCAAATTATTGACATTTTTCATTTTTTGCTGACAAAAATACTGAAGCAAAAGTTGAGAAGTAAAAACTAAACAAGGATGAAGAAATATAAAATATGAGGCACTCAAACCATCGACCTGCCTTCGGGCAAAGCAACATAATAATTTATATCAACCTATAAAATGCAGTCATTTATGAAATTTAAAAAAGATACACAAAACCACATTTAATATTCCAACGATAGTGACGCATTTTTTTCCGGAAAACTGTCCAATGGTTAGAATAGGTCAATGATCGGTAAATGGCTCAGTTCAGTACTCTTTTTAAATTGTTTTGGAATTTACTCTAAAAACATTCGATTCCTATTGATAGGGAGATGTGCTGATTAGTTTTTGGCAAAGGCAGGCCCAACCGTTACGGAGATACGGTGCATAAGTGCAGAAAATAAAAATCGAGTTTTTGAGAGAATAGAACATCCGATTTGAATGATCCCAAACAACATTCAATTTGTAATGATTGGGAGAAGAGGTAATTAGTTTTTCGCAAAGGCAGGTCCAGCCATTTCGAAGATACAGAGCTCAATATACAAAAAATGGCAGTTTTTGAGAGAACTAAGCGTCCGATTTGAATGATTGAAATAACTTTCTGCTTGTGTTGACAAAACAATTGCGTTTGGAAATAAAAATTCTTTTTTTTTTAATTTTTTTTTTATATATATAGTTGTATACTTTGAAAAAATAATTTTAACCTTGTAATTCAGTTTATATAATTCTTATAAATATTACACAACGATACAGTATTTATAATAATCTAAATGAAAACATTTAACATTCCTCGAACATTTCGTTACGGTACGGGAAGTTCTAGCAATTTTCCTTGCGGCGCGATGCCATACACCTCTAGTTTGTCTTATATTTATTTCATTTAATGTAATAATACTCATATGTAATAGCATATTTGAGGTCTTAATTTTAGTTTTAAATAATCCTATAAAAATGAAGCAATTTCTAATAAGAGAGTGTGACATTTTTCAATAGTATTCATTTTCGAGTAATTCATGAGAGTATAAAATGATAAATATCGTATTATATTTTATTATTAATAGATTGAAATTGGAAAATAAATGATTTTTTTGCACTGAGATGGAATATGCATCATTTATTTTATATTTTGTCGCTTTAATGCAATTATACATGTTTTTAATAACATATTTTATATCCTAATATAGCATTTAAAAAATTCTATAACAATGAAGCAATTTTTCGTGAGAGGAAGCGACATTTTTTAAAGAAATACAAAGTAGTTCATTGCAATATCAAATAATAAACTTCATAGTTTTTCTATTTAACTTGAATAACGTTTAAATGGAGGCTAACATTTACAATTGGGTATTGGTATTATAACCTTATTAAAAGAATACAAGAATTACTTGAAGGGAAATATATTAAATTACATAAAAAATACAAAAGTGGAATGAACACAAGTAATCTGGATTATTTCTTTATACCTGAATTCACTTAAACTTAAAAAAAATGGTTCATTTTATTAGAAAAACTATTGAAAAAAGTGGAGGCTAGATGTAGATAATTGATACTGCTTGAACCAGTTATTGGATTTAGCAATTGGCCAATTAGAAAAAAAAATGTAAAGTAATTTTGCATAAAAATGTAGATCCATTAATAAGAGCTTTGATAGAATTTTAACAAAAGGGTAATGTACTTTGTAATTATAGATTTTATTGCACAAACAAATTCCTGCAAATTGATCAGAAGATATATCTGATTGGAATCCTCTTACTCCAATAAGAATAATTGCAATTTGACACTTTGCTTTGACATAAACAAACCTAAAATATTGGTCAGAAGATATATCTGATTGGAATGCTTTCATTCCAATAAGAATAATTGCAATTTGACACTTCGGTTTGACATAAACAAACCCAAAATAACAATCTAACTAAAAGAAATCACATCGATAGGAACAAATGCATGCATTACCCAAGTGATCTGTCAATATTTATAATCAGATAAACTTACCATTCCCACTGCCCCACATTTGCATCATAAATAAAATCCCATAATACAATATAAACAATTTTTTTGTGTTCTCCAACATGATGATAGAATTCACAACATAACACACCCAGAATTAGTTTTACATATCACCATTTTTTGCCACTAACATCAATGTATCAAACCCACAAATATTCCGAAATTCAAAATTCACTTTTAATTGCAGCCATTACTATTGTAATCAAAATTTAACCCATTTATTGAAATAAATAACAACACGTGCAGATTGATTTATGACTTAGTAATTGAAAATTGACAAATGACCGTTTTGTCCGTTATGCACGTTAATTGAGCTGTTTAATTATTCGATAATTGCGCAATTTGCTGCTTTTGCATATTTTTCACTATTGTTTACTATGAGACAACTTGACCGGCAGCCATTACGAATCGGACTGCCAAAACTGCGTGACACATGAAGTAAGGTTAGCGACAACCTAACGGAGACGAAATTAGTGGGGACGCTGGTAACGGAATTGAACGACTCAGCCATAGAACTTATATTTCATGGGCTACTACTAGTAGAGCACAAGATAAGTGCTCAAACATAGAAGGGTATGTGACGTTACATGTCTGAGCAAACATTGCCGACGACAATCGCGGACTCTCCCGATATATAATGGCAATTGTGATGGGTCACCATTTTGTAAGAAATGATATTAATAATATTTCCCGTGTGAAATACATGTACTGTAATGTAATAATTTTCATAATAATTAATTTAAATCAAATATTATCTGTGATAGTTTTATATGTGGCATGTTTTGCAGTGGATAAACTTTCCATATAATTTGTGTTAGGGGCGTCTACTAATCACATGAGGCTTTTAGGGGGAGGTTAACAAAATATCACAAAATATCACAAAATATCACGTGAAAGAGGAAGGGTAAACTATACTAATATTTCACGTGTATTTATTTTTTACCTATTTTTTTTTTTAAAAAATCTAAATATTTTCAAAAAAAATTCAAAAACACATTCAAAAGTAGGTGTGAAGCTTCTTAAGATTTTTTTTAAAGATCAAGGAACAATTATACGTGGCATGATTTGCATAAAACATCCGTATAATTTGTGTTAGGGGGCGCCACGTTAGGGGGAGGTTGAGAAAAAATTACGAAAAATCACGTGGGGGAAGGAAAGGTATAGTAAGATATTACGTGTATTTATTTTTTACCTAAATTTAAAAAAAAATCCAAACATTTTCAGAAAGAATCCAAAAATTTAGCAATTTTTTTTCTCGTAACTAAAAACACACGTGCTGTTTGGTGGGGGAGGAGGGTAAATTTGAATATCACAACGTATCGCCAGAAGGAAGAGGGGGAGGGTCCAAAATTTAAAAAAAAAATCGATCACGTGATTAATGGACGCTCCCTTAACTGTTTCTTTCACTTATATACGAACTACATACTTCCAAATTCACAATTAATCAGTTATTTTATTACTATATTTTTTTTATAAATATTTTTTTAAGGCTAAACAACGTTTGCCGGGTCAGCTAGTAAAAATTACAATATAATAAAAAAATCTGAATTAATTTTTATTTCGTTGTTCTCACAACTTTCTGATAGATTTTTATTTTTTTTACGAAAGGGCCACCAGAGGTCTTACTATACCAACACGCAGCTACAAGCGATCTGAACAACCTCAAGTATGAAAAACCGCGGTAAATTCAAAAATGATTGGAAAGCAAATAATAGATCGTTAAAGTAAGAATGTTAATGAAAAATAATCTGCTTTTGTTTAAAGCAGTTAGATTAATTAATAATATTATTTTTAATAATATACTAGTTGTATATAAAATATGATGCAACATCGTAGTTCTATTAAAACATTCTTAAGATTGTCGCAACAGAAAAGTGAGTAAGATACACAACATTTAAATTTGCAATAGCAATTTCATTTAAATAAAAACATTCTAATAATATATAAATACGTTTATAAAAATTATATATGTCATTCATATAACAAACTTGCAGTCTAAAACATTTACATAACAGTTTTTTATACAATACTATATTCTTCTAAATTAATTTTATTTTTGTTTTTTTTATGTTTGAACTTCCCTTTCGCATCAGCAATTTTCCTCTTCTTCAATTCCTTCTTTTTCTCATGCAATTGTAGTTTACGTTTTGCAGCTTTAACTGGATCATTAATTTTCTCCTGAGCTTTGATTTTCTTTCTGTCAGCACGCCTAACATTTAATTGCATGGTAAGTTGTTGTCGCAATTTGTTATAAGTTTCTTCTCCAATTTTGCCTCTGATTTTTTTACCAATTCTATTGGAATGTTGTCTTAATGTAGCATTTGATTCGTCTGTTGACATCATTTCTCTAATCAAAGGAGCTAATAACTGCTGACCGTACATTGATAGTTGGTCAGCCTCAAGTAAGGTGACTACACCTTCAATCCAATTAAATACTGCAGTTCTCTAAAAGTAAAAAAATAGAATTCAGTTAAGGATATTTAAAAACAGTTTAGTTACATTTAATTTACTCATACTTACCAATACTATTGAACTAGGAGTTTTAGCTACTTCTGCATTTACAACATATCGCATACGTCTTATGAGCCAATGCAAATTTACAGTCTTTTTTGATGTTTGTACACTGTCACCATCTTTATCTTTAAAATCAACATTAAGAATTCTCAAGTCTTTTATTATATTTACTATATAGATCAAATTTTTTACAATTTGCTCAGCAAAATCAGAAGATATTTCTCCTGGTATCATTTGAACACACATATCTAAGATCAAACTTTTCAGGGAATCATGTGTGTTATAGTACAAGAATCCTCTTTCAAAGTCCATACTATCATTTACAAAACTTTTTTGAATATCAGATACTTTCAAGGAAGATAAAACGTGTTCCAAAATTTTAGCTGATTCGAATCGAGCCCATGCATGAGGATAGGCTAGTAATTTCTGAGCTTGCTGTGCTATTTCATCAACATAAGCATTGTATTTTGGTGACTTCAAGAATCCTGGACAATTTTCACACATGTTCACTAACATTTTTAGAGTTTGAATAGTTTGATGATCTTTTGCTTGAACTTTTGCATCAACTACGTTTTCTTTATCGTGATCAAATTCTTCATCGTTTTTAGATATTAAAACAAATTTTCCAGCAGTTTCAGAATTACTATTTGTGAATTGTTCTTCAATTAATGGAAGCAGTTTCGATAATCTTGATTGGAAAGATTCTTTTTCGACGTTTATAAATCTATTACAAAGGAGAGCAGCCATTTCTTTGTGTGCAACCTAAAATTAAAACAATATTTGAAATATAAACATATATTTAAAATAAAATTTAGACATATTATATAGTCATATTACCTTCTTATCTTTAAACAGAGCAAGTGTGATATCGAACAAATTATCACGTTGGTTATTCGGCAATCTTTCCAACATGCTTTCTACACACTCTGCCACTAATTTTTTGCAATTAGGTGATGTATCATTGACCAGTCTAGCTCCAAGCGATACGAAAAATAAGCCACTATGTTCTATCAGAGTGTCCTGAAAATATTTATTATATTAATTAACTAGTAACGATCCCAAACCCTTTATTTCCAAGAATTGTATAGAACTGGTTTCATTTTCTACATAAAAATATATCCACAAACCTCTGGAAATCTTTGTATCACAGTTTGTAGCATTCTTATTGCAGATTCTCGTCCATAATCCACTTCATAATTCATTTGAGCTAGATAGAATTGTAAATATTTCTCCAATTTTTTGCCAAGTGGATAATCCATTAAAAATCCTTGAATAACCATTCTAGCTTCTTCCCTATTAGACAAAAAAGATTTTATATTGTATTCTTTATTCTAAAACGAGTATCTATATAATTTTTACAAACCTGACTTTTGGAAGTTCAGCAATGATGCTTAACTTGCAAACTTTATCAATTACTTCATGCATTTCTGGAACGATAAGTTTAGCTGAAATTATAGATTTCAGGAGCGTAAATGCTGATGCTTGTCTATCATGGTCATGAAGATCTTGTTCAACATATAACAATAGTATTTTCAGCTGGTCTTTATCAATCGTGTAATATTTCACATGGCGTACTAAAGCATTCATACTTTTAAATGAATTCTGAACAAGTGGAAAGTTTTCATCATTTTTGCTCAAGCCGGCAGTTGCAAATTTATGCAAAATAGAAAATATGACTTCTGAGATTTCTTTGACCAGATTTTGCATACTGGGTATAATCATCTTCATGATCCATATTGAACACACGCACTTCAACGATAATGTTGTGACTCTTACATGTGTACTTTTTATTCCGTCCAATAGAATTGGTATTAAGGGATCTAAAAATGGTCTGTAATCGTGACTGCGTAGTTTTTCGTGAACCAGGAGTGCGTGCAGGAGTCCCAAACCAAATTCAACCATTACGTGAGCATTGGTTTGCGCATTCGTCTTAACAACCTTTTTGTTGAAACCAGTTCTACTCCTTGGTGCTTCTGGTATGAGAAAGCAATCAGGCTTTGCACGCCTGATCAATTCCTTTTGAGACTCCGTTAACACTTGCTTGGGGGCTGCTTGAAGTTCGGGAATCGATTGTGAAGAAGTTCCATACAAAAATATTAGCAACGACTCCGTCGGCATGAATTTATTTTCCACCAAACCTTGCACGATTTTACCTAAACATTCCTGAGTCTTTAATATAATTTTCTTAGAATGCGAATTCGTCAACACTTCCTTGAACGGCATGAGCAGATCTAGAAGACATGAATCTGAAATGCTTTGAGCAATGATTTGTAACGTGATGAAACTTTTGCGACTGGTTTTTGCTTCTGGCGTTTTAGCGCCCAACTTTTCTACTTCTTTTTCTTCGGAAACTTTACCAAACAAGTCTTCTTTGCAAACTTCCAAAACGCTTTGTAAATTTCTGTCCATATCTCCTTTTTTGAAATCATTTTTCAATACTTCCAAAATGTCGTGCACGGTAGCAACTAAAACATGAACGTGGAAACCGCGGGTCATCAAAGTTCGCAACTGCTCCAATACTGTATCCATATGCTCGGGTCCCAACGTAGTCATTATTTTCTTTAAAATATCTCGTGTCACCAGACGAACCTCTTTTAGTGAAGATTTTAAAAATGTGCAGATTTTCATCACTATGCCAGGCAAGTTCCGTTCCAGCATACCTTTTGGTAACTTCTGCAACAATTTAACCAATGCCAAAGCAATCGGAACCCTTAGAACTTCTTCCTCTTCTCGTTCTGCTCCAGTCCTTCTCCTGTTCAATTTATGAGATCCTTCATGACTTGTCATTTGTGCAATGGCATGGTTTAATTGTGGAATCAAACCTGTGGTTATAGTATGTATTAAACGTTTGGCAGCTGATTGTGGCAAGATATAAAATCTTTCCATAGCCAATTGAACAACATTATCAACTGGTGCTTCTTCAACAGCCTCCACATTGTTATCCTCATCTAAAACAACGTCCAAGTCATCTTCAGATTCTAATTTTTCGTCAGAATCCTCTTTATTATCACCACTTGATTTGCTTTCATCGGTTTGAGCAGATACTTCAGTTTCTGGTTTTTGCTCTTCTACCATTGGCTCATCCAACTGTACATCTTTAGCTTTAGATAGATCAAAATGGAATGCATCTAATATTGCAACCACCAATCGCACCAACTGCTTTTGAAATTCCACGTTATGACGAAGTTTTCCTAAATAAAATTTCAATATTGTTTCATACTGGTGCCAGGGTAATAGTCTACATACTGTACTAATAGTTTCAATAGAGGCATCAATCATAGTATTTTTGCCAGTGAACTTCTCATTGCACAGATATATTGAAGCTAATGGTAGTATAAATTGCGTTAATGTTCTTGGTTGCGGAGCCTTTTGCAAGGTTTTAGCAACAGAACAGAACTTTAGCAAAGCTCGCACCTTTCTATGGCTTTGTAGATGCTGCAAATTTTCAAAGAAATCCACTTCCGGGTCTTGTTTGTTGGTAAGAACTGCTAAATCTTTTAAAACAGGATGGACATCAGGACATTCACGAGCCAATTCTCCTAGTAGCGAAATGGCTTCATTCCGTACAGTATCATCTTTGCTTCTGAAACAATTTCTGATAACGTGCAAAACTGTGGAACTCATCAAAAATTCACGCTCTTTAGGGATACTCTGATACTTTACAGCCAAAACCGGAATGATTTTCTTTAAATTTTGGCAAGCAGTTTCGCGCAATGCCAGATCTTTTTCGTGCTTCATGAAGTAAAAATTATTGTATATAACTAAAACACCTAAATCCATGTCGATTTTCTTGTTTTCCAATAAAGCATCAATGGTTTTATAAGCAGCTAATCTTTTATCAAAATCAGGCTGCTCTACCCATCTGGAGTCCCAAGCGTTCAACTCGTGTACAACATCTGAATAAATTTTGATTTCTGGTTTTCGTTCACTTATCACTTTGATTAAATCGCATAGTAACTTTCTAGGAGCGATAGTACTGATTTCATTGAACAAAGGAGCAATAGATCTCACATGGTTTTCTGGATCGGTAACCTTAGCTACTAAATTCTTTAATGTGATGACAAGTTGGATAAGCACTTCTTCACCCACATTTCCAGATGCGCGCTTTACCAAAATAGGCAACATCAATCTCAATAATGTGTTGCTCGTCTCGGAATCCCATACTAATTCTGTGGCTCTCGAGAGAATTACTAATTCTTTTCTACCAATGGATTTATTTGAAGATGTTCCACATACTTTACGTTTTATCCTTTCCAAAATATCTGGTATATATGGAAGAAGTAAACAACTACCAAAATTCAATTTCTCTGATAAAGACAACAATTCTAGTTTATCCTTATCAACTTCAACCACATTATCAATCAATATTGGAGGAGTTTTGTCCAACTCTTCTTCATCCATTTGCAACGTCAACATTTTTTCAAACATCTCAAAAATTGCTGCAGAAACTAAAGGTTTAGTTTTGATATTCAATAATAATTTCACAACATGTGCGATTGGCGTCAAGCTTTTATCTTCAGGATGATGTTTTGCCAGTAAAATATAATATCTAGGGTTTTGGCTCCAAACAACAAATAATTTTAATAAAGCAGTGGGGCTATGAATACCTTCATAAGATAATTTATCAAGCCACGGCCAAATAAAAACATTATAAATTGCTTCAATCTCGTTCTGCGACCAAGGATAAGCTTCGAACTGCGCAAAGAACTTACATATCGCTTGCAAACATAAGTTTCGCATATTTTTCATTATAGTCAAATATCCAGCATGTACATTATCTTGAACTAAAACTCCGTTTACAATTGCTCCAATGCACATAACCATTTTAATTAAATAGCCGATAAAATTTTGGGTCATAAGACCTCCGAATTGTTCACGAACGACGCCTAACAAATTAATCGTACTCAGTAAACGTTTTGGAGCTATAACATTCTCTAAATTCGTATTTTGGATTATAGAGTTGGTCATGTCTAATATATCTTGGTTGAGGTAAATAGAAAAATTTTTGAACGCCATATTAACAAAGAATATCAGCTCATGTTCTCCACAACCGGCTATGAAGCGCAAAACTAAGGACCTTCTTAGCTGACCACCTCCTTTTGTATTGGTACCGACTTTTGTAATCATTTTACTGTAAACAATTCGCATAATAATTGGAAGTAAATCGTCCCTGTGACTTATTTCTATCATCTCGGTGTCTTTATCGATTCTGAAATTCGTAAGTTCGTCTTTGAACTTTTTGTCATCGACTAAATTGTACAAATTTTGTTTGTAAGGAACTAAATATTTATGTTTGTATGTCATGATACAATCAAGAGCGGATTTTTGAATTTCCGAATTTTTACTGGATAACAGTTCTAGGTAAAGATTATATAATTCTGGTTCGCGGTACATTGTTTTCGGACTCCTGACTTTTGAAAATATTTCTAAATGCGCGAGAAGTAATCTGAAAAGTAATTAATATATTTACAAATCAATAAAATGTGATGTTAGGCACATTATGATAAAAAAAATAGAAAATTGCAGGTGTTAATATACACGTCACAATCAATAATAATCAAATAATAGCAAGTCACAATCAATAATAGCAAGTCACACTCAATAAATAATAATAAAGTAGTGGTCGGGAAACATTTTTTCATCATTATTCCAAAATATTTTTATATAATTAATAAAATCGCATCTCTGCTAAATGTAATTATTTTTTAGATACAGAATGAAAAAAAAAAACATATTATAGCCTCCCAAGATAATTTTCAGAATAAAACAATAACCATAAATTTAATTGTGTTTAAAATTAAATTTTAATTTAAATTTTTCTGGAGCACGGACTACTATGTAGAAAATTAAGTTAATTTCAATTACAAATATAAACTTTTTATCTCTGAAAATTTCATTGTTATCCCATTTATGAGTATGCATAACAAAAATTAACATCTATAAATTAAGTTATTAACTTACTTATACAAGTTTTTCACAGATATACTAGATTTCTCATCTGTTATAGAGTCTTCCAACTTTTCAATTGCCTCGATTTGTGCACTTTCTTCTTCTTCATCTTCATTTTCCTCATTATCGTCCTCCATCGGTGCACTTATGGAGTTTGTTGTTTGTTTTATATTCCAAGTGTTGCCAAACTCATTATTAACTTTCTTAAATTCATCTCTGTAAATATTTAGAGATGATTAAAGTAAAAGTAAAAGTTACATACATACATGCATATATATATATATATATATATATATATATATATATGTGTGTGTGTAACAACAAATACTCACTGCATAAAATTCAATAGCATTTCAGTGATACTTCTGTTTTTTGCTTCGCATAAGTCAGTAAAATGGCTCATGGCTTTCCACAACAAAATTCTGTAGTTCACAAAATCAGGTTTATCATCAACTTCATAAAATGATGAATATAAATCTTGTATCAACATATATTTAGCATCAAAAGTACCAACGGCACTCAAAGCATCACATTTAACTTTAGAACTATTAGAGTTTGCTATAGAATTTTCTAACTGTTCACAAAATATTGTCCAGAACTGTGCAGGTTCCAACCCAGAAGCATAAGTCGCTATTATTTCAATAGTAGGATCCCATAATAACTTGAAATTCATATACAGAACACCTAGTAAATATCTTAGAGCGAGTTGCTTATACTTGACATCATTTAAATTTGTGATGATAATATTATCGAAATTCAATTTATTTAGATACTGCAATTGTTCACGATATTGATGCACTGAAGGAGTTATATTTTCTACAGTATTCATAATTGTAAAAAAGGCAGGTTGTTCATTGTCTAAATCACAGTTGTTGAAATCAGGTAAATAATTGAACAGAGTGAAAATGTGGGTTGTTATTAAGCGGATTTTATGATGTGGAGAGCTTAAATTGATAACCAAGACATCATGTAATTTGTTGAACATGTTGATATCGACATTGTTCAGGTCGATACTAGAAGCAGTCAATGCTAAATCTAATATGTTCAGAGCTTGGAGATATTCTAATGAGGTGGTGTATGGCAAAATTACATCAACCAATTCGTGAATATCTAAATAATCGTTTATGTTATCAGAATCTATATGAACAGCGCACTCTAAAGTCATTCCCAGAAGGAATAAATCTGTTCTAACATTTGCAGTTATTGTGTTAGCATCTCTATCTACTTCCATTGCATCTGAGTTCGGCTTGAGTTTATCCAAAATTAATTTAATCATATTTTTACAACTACTTTTTACATCATTAACATTATGATTTAAATGAGGTAAACAAATCAAAACACACAAAATATTATCTATGTTTTCATAAACATGCTCAAGTGTCAATACAGATATATATTCATAATTTTTTTCATAAATTTCTTCAGATTTCATATTAATATTATATTTTCTCCATTTGTTCAACTCTAAACCATTAACACACAAAGGTGATTTTTTTAAACAAATTTGTGCTAAAATTTTTAAACATTTTTCGTCCACTTCAGTTTTAATACAATATTTCAAAAATTGTGGTAAAATTAAAATATCAAATTGTGTATACATAATTGAATTTTCTACAAAATGTAACAGAATATTTGGTTGCTTAACTGCAAGCATATTAAGAGTGATGCGACTTGCATTTTCTTGCAACAAAGTTATATTTTCTGAAGTGAGTATTAGAACACAAATTTGTGATACTATGATCAGTATAGATTCAGAAAAGTTTCCATTAATTATTCCCATTAATCTATTAATTAAATCTCCAGGTTTTGTAACAAATTTTCCTTGTTTATGTTCAACAGCTTGTCCTACCAATTTTAAAACATATTCAAGTCCTTTTGAACTTTCATCATCATTTTGTGATTTTATATAAGAGTCAATACTTTCAAACATTGTTGACCAAAATATTTCACATTTAGTATAATGAATACATGATAGAATATCTGTAACCGTTTGTACCAGCACTTCAAATAGTAAACCTGTTGGTAGTTTATTATCTGATAATGAATCGATGAGGAAAGGCAGCAAGGTATTAGCACAACTGTGGAAAGATCCTTGAATTCCACGCATCATTTCAAATAATAAGCGACCACAACCTGCAACACCCTGAAGACATAGAAAATTGCATTATAAAACAAATAAAATGATGTTTAATTAATAAAACAATACTTACATCTTTATGAGTTTTTAATGATTTCAGTATAAGAATCAAAAACTTCTTTTTATCTTTGATATCTCTTGAAACAAATGAAAAGCTTTCAGCAGCAAAGTTATTAATATAAGTTGGTTTAGAATCACCTAACAGCGGAAGCACTAATGTAAACACAGTGCTTATATCTTTCTTTAGGAATGCTCTTAGAGTTTTGAATAGATAGGCTAAACATATCAATGTCCATTCTAAAACCTCAGAATCTTTAGTCCCGAGCAAGGATATAAGTTGTTCCAGAAATACTGGGAAGTAAGGATAAAAGTCTTCTCGCAAATCTTTTGCTAGAACAACAATAAACCTAGAATTTAATTAAAAAGATATGTACTATTTATATTTGTACGTAAGTGTACACGGAAACCAAATGTGCATGATAAATAATTGTTATTAATATTGTTCTTTTCTTTTATACTTACTCTAATAGTGGTTGAAGTGATATATTTGTAGCTTTTTTCAAATGATTCAATAACGATTCAATAACTTCATCCTTTTTATGAATCAATTGTGGAAGTGTTATAATGCCTTGCACTGATTTCCGAAAAGAACTATAATCTTCTGTTAAATTTAGAACATTCCACTTTTGAATGGCTTGATAAAAGTAAGTTTCATTTTCTTCTGGTTCTTCTTGATTCACATGATCTAAATGATATAAGGCTGTACGCCTTATATCGATATTTCCAATGCGATCAGCAAAGGATTGGAACTAGAAAAAAAAACAGAAGGAATAATAGAAATAATAGAGGACATTTTTGAATATAATAATATAGTTCACTTAAATAAACAAACAATAAAGCATATAATGACGATTGTAACACCTAAGTGTAAAAATTTAGAAATAAGTGAAGGCTCTATGAATTAAATTTTTTAATGGAACAAATAATAATAAATCTATAGTGATCGAATAATCCTATAAAGGTATAATGAAGAAAGGTATTAAATGTATTTTAAAGAATATTATATTATATAAACGAAGTATTTTAAATAAACAAAAAACAAATTTTACTAAAAAAAAAATAGATATTTTTTGCTTCGAATATAAATTATATTAAAGTGAAAATAAATGAACTTAGTTCATAAAATTTCCATAATAAAATAAATGTAAATTTTATACTGTAATTATTATTTCATAACTATAAGTATATTTTTCGAGGTTAGAATTTATTTAATAAATTTGCAACAATAAATACCTTAAATGTGTTCCTAGTTTTATGTTTTTCAGGTTTATTTTTCATCTTTATATTTTTTGGTTTATTTGGAAGAAATATAAATTAAAATCAAAACACATCACCTGGTTTAAAGTATTGGAAAATACAACATTATTAATACGTCTATAAGTCTACCGTTTAAAGTCAAAAGCATGCTTGAAGCATTTTTTGAGGTTATGTTGAATGTAGAGTTTACCCTAAAAAAAGATGGCTGATGATTTCCACAGATTCTCAAAATGTTAGGATAATATATTTTTATAATAAATACATAATATATACTTCTTTCTTATATAAATATATATATATATATATATATATATATATAAATTTTAATAAATGATTACTACATAATAGTTATTTTCCACATTTCAACAAAAAAAAAAGTTGTTAAACTTGGTATAATAATTTTATTAACTTCCCGTATGGTAAGTTATAGTTATCGCAAAAATATCAAAAATGAAAAAATTTGCATATATTCACGTTTTGAAGGTTTCTGAACATTTTGGCATATCTCAGAACAAATGGATGTGTGTGTGTGCGTGTGTGTATGTATGGATACAATTTTTTGACCACGTTTTCGAGCGCACAGATCAACCGATTTGAATGGTTCAAAAAATATTCAATTCATAATGACGGGAAGAAGTGGTGATTAGTTTTTGGCAAAGAAAGGTCTAGCAGTTTTGGAGATACCGAGCAAAAATAGCAAATAAACATATTCTAGTTATTCAGGCAATAACTAGAACATTTTCTGAACATATTTTCATAGTTAGTTGTTTTATATTTGCTGTATATTGTTTGTTTGGTTTTTAAAAAATAATTACTACTGATATGCTTAAGAGCTTATATTATATATTGCGATGCTGAATGGGATATTTCACTCAAAGATGCATCTAATACAGCTCATCAACGAATCACGAATAATACGAGCGCTATTTTTCATCTTGATAGCTAAATGTAACAAAATCGCATTTTTGTTTAGATTTTTATTTATATGCAAAATATAACTATTAATAAGCCCAAAGAGCATTTATATGTGGCATGGGTTGCAGTAGATAAACCATTCATTTAATTTGTATTAGTAGCTTCTTTTACTACACACTTCTACATTCATAATCCATTAGATATTTTTTATAATAAAGATTTACGAGAAATATTTTTTATGCTAAACAACTTTACTTTTGTTGGGCTAGTATATATATATATATATATATATATATATATTTCTAAATTTTTCCTTAATTAGGTACTTAAAAATTGAAGACAACAATCATTCATTCATTTGTTCTTAAATAATTTTTTTCGAGCTTTGCCTTGTATTTGAAAGGTGACAAAGAATAGATACTTTGTTTAAAACACGAAAATATGTTTATTATAATGTTTTGATATATCATTAGTACAAATATGTTAATCATTAATTTAATTGTTGATATCTATCTGACAATGAAATGAAAGACACATTTGATTTTATAGAAGTCAATGCTTTTTTAAAAAACTTTTATTTTTTTTTTTTTGAAAATAATAAGAAATTCTTTAAACGTTAATTAATATTTATTATTTACTATATAATTTGAAAATTGAAACCAAACAGCTTTATACATGTGCACGTTTTTGGCATAAATAATTGTTTTTCTAAAATTTATTTAATTTTTTTTTATTTTAATCAGAAAATGTTTTATTTTATAGCATTAAATATATAGTACTTTTAAAAATTCTAATATTATATTCAATATTTAACGTTGTATTTATCGAAAAGCAGTATTTATATTTGGATATATTTAATAGAAAAAAAAACTGTCAAGTTTTAAGGTAGAGGATTAGGTAAAGGCCCAGATTAAGGCAAAAGAACCAGGTAAAAGAAAAGGACCAGGTGAAAGAACAGGTTAAGAACCAGGAAAAATATAAGGTAAAAGTAAAAGACCAGGCAAAGATAAAAGAACAGGTAAAAGACAAGGTAAAGATAAAGGACTAGGTAAAGCTAAATCAGGTGCAGGTAAAAAACTAAGTAAAGGTGAAGGACTAGATAAAGGTAAAGGATCAGGTGAAGGTAAAGGACCAGGTAAAGGTAAAGGACCAGGTAAAGGTACAGAACCAGATAAAAAAACAGGTGAAAAACTAGGTGAAGGTAAAGGACCAAGTAAAAGAAAAGAACCAGATAAAGGTACAGGAACAGGTAAAGGTAAAAGACCAGGTAAAGGTGAAGGACCATTTAAAGTAGAGGACCAGGTAAAGGTAAAGGACCAGGTAAAGAACCAAGTAAAGGTAAAGGACCAGGTAAAGGAAAAGGAATTGAAATGTATGAATTTTGAATATATTTCACGTATATTTTTAAACCAAAATTAAAATGCATGAATTGATTAAAACTTAAAAAAAATAAGTTTACCATTTTATGTTCACGTATGTTTTTAACTGAAATGGATTTAAAATCCATTTTATGTCCAATGATATTTTATGCATTTGATTTGTTCTTTAAAATCAAACAATATATTTAAAACATACTAAATAGCAATTGACATAAAGTGAAAATTTGGTCTAGAAAAACTGTTTTCAAAAATGAATAGAAACTTTGCTTTAAGCACTATTCATTTTTAACTGATTTTATATATTTATTTTATATTAATTAATGATTGTAAGATGTCTATATGAGTTTGAATAATTATTAAAAATCCATGGTTAAAAAATTTCCATATAAATTTCTGGGTTCAATACCAGAAAGTGGGGGCCTCCTTTATAAGACGTCGTTTCGTTATTTTTGTTCAGAAAATAAGTGAAAGCATTAGTGTGCGAAGTGTCTTATATAAACGTGATATAATTTAAACAAATACATGAATTAAGTAAGTAATTTATATAAATTTAACTAAATTATATAATTTATACAACTATATGTACACCCTTTTTAATTAAAAAATATTTGTGCTTAAACAACTTTTGAGTTCATTTTTTTTTAAATATTTTGCATTCAAATTTTAAAATAACGTTTTTATTAATTCAGTTGCTTGATTGTAACACGTTAATCGCTACGATAATATTAGAAAAATTTTGTCATGGGCATAAGTAGATAATTTAGTTAAAAATATATCATATATCAATCAAAATTTATTTTTGCCAAAATTCGTGAAAAAAATCCTATTTCTTATGTCACACATACATGACTGATATGGCCCTATATTAATTTTTTTTTACATTAGCGAAATTGCTTATGTCAGGCATATATGATTGACATGGCGGTTAACGTGTTAAAGAAAAATGATAGAATAAACAAAAATCTAGCCAAATTATTAATAATTCATTAATTAGTAAACATCCTTATACTTGATCTTTAGACAACTATTAAATACTTTTTGAACAATTGATAACTTCATTAAATAAATTTAAAATTATTTTTGCTTTAATTGAAGGCAAATTTCTGGAACTCCCCGTACCGTAATTAAAAATCTTGGTATGGAACCCAAAAAAATTTACACAAAATGTGTGCATATGCCCAATAAACATTTTTGACCGTCAAATGACATGTTTTAAACTTATTTTTATTGAGAGTCAATACAAGTAAAATGTGTTTTGAATTATTGAAATCGGACGCTCCGTTCTCTTAAAAACTGAGTTTCCGTTTTTGGCACTTTTTGTCCCATATCTTCGGAAGGGGTAGACCTGCCTTCGCCAAAAACTAATCAGCACGTCTCTTTATCAATACGAATCGAATGTTGTTTTAATTATTCAAATCGGTTATTCCATACTGTCGAATGACTCATACTGATTTTTTCCCCCGAATATTTAATTCTGGTACCAGCAATATACCTTAAGGCACGATGCCATGCACCACTAGTCCATTTCTAGAATCAATCGTCGATCTATGAACCATTTCCGAGGTTGATTATTTATTTATTTCGATCTAGGTCTGCATAATTAAGTGCAAAAATAAAACGAGTTATTAAATAAGTTATATAATGTTAATATAAGTCGGTTATTTTGCAATAACTTTCACCGCTGCATCGTCGTCGTTCCAGTGCAGAATCTGCAGTTGCACTGCAAGAAATGCATTCGGCGAACGATTTACGTTTTACGCCGCTTTTACTTTCATTGTTATTACCGCATAACTCCAATCGTAATATTATATATTATATGTAATGGATTTGCTTAAATGAAAACAACGAAATAATCATAAATCATATTAATAGACGTTTTCTCCCGAACCCACAATGTCATGTAATAGTCTCTTGGTCTAATTCTGGGGCTAATTCTCGGATAAAATAGGTATGGTATGGTCTATAATCGTATGAGTCATTACACTACATGGACTGCTAGTCCTCATATGTTTTCCGTTGTATATAGTACTCAAACATAGAAGGGTATGTGACATCACTTGCTGAGCGAACATTGCCGACGACAATCGCGGACTCTCCAGATTGATTAAATGTCAAATGTCATATGTTACGTGCCTAATATAGGCCTTATAATATATAAACCGATTTTAACAGGCGGATTCGATTTTATGTACATTTATTTCACAGGAAAAATATTATTATTATCATTTTTTACAAAACATCAGCCATCCCAATTGCCATTATGTTATTGAAATAAAACTATCACAGATAATATTTTAATTAAATTTACTATTATGATAAATATTATTAAATATTATTAATATCATTTCTTACAAAATTATCAGCTATCACAACGGTCATTATATTATTAAATTAAATCATATAACCTATGACATTTAATCAATCGGGAGAGTCCGCGATAGTTGTCGACAATGTTCGCTCAGACATGTGACGTCACATATAGCCTTTCTTGTTTGAGCACTTATTTTGCAGTCCACGTAATATTTGGGTCTATGGCCGCTAGTCTGTTAAATCGGATGCTTAGTTCTCTCAAAAACTGCCATTTTTGGTACATTTAGCTCTGTATCTTCGAAATTGTTGGACCTGCCTTTGCCAAAAACTAATCACGACTTCTCCCAATCATTACAAATTGAATGTTTTTTGGATCATTCAAATCGGAGACTCTGTTCTCTTAAAAACTCGATTTCTATTTTCTGCACTTTTTTGCTCTGTATCTCCGAAACGGCTAGGCCTGCCTTTACCAAAAACTAACCAGCACACCTCCCTATCAATAGAAATCGATTGCTTTTAGAACCATTCAAATCGGTTGTTCCGTGTGCCCGAAAAGGTGAACCAAAAATATGGACACACAAAACACACACACACATCCGTTTTTTCTGAGGTATGCCAAAATGTTCAGAAACCTCTGAAACGTAAAATTATGCAAAAATTTTCATTTTCGAATTTCGGCCCATTACTATAACGGGATGTTAATAATAATTGTATGTTTAACTCATACGTAACATATCTATCCATCTTGAGATCAAGTGATTTTTTTGGTTTTTTCTTCTTGTTCAAATAATAAAGACTTCTAATCCAATTCATATTAATTTTAACTTCAAAATCCATTAATCAAACATTAGTATTCCTTAGTATTTATAAAATTCCAGTCCACCTCTTGAGAGGTAAATAAAAAGCTTCGATATGCACAATAAATTGTTTGCAATTAAAATTTAAAACTTCAAATATTCCTTTTTATCCAAAAATGTGTTCTAGAATTTATAATTAGCCTTAGATTTTTAAAACAAATGTTCCTAATCAAAATTAAATTACTTTCCAGAATGTTAGTCGCCATATTAATATTCATCTGTATATTCACACTGCTGTTATACCTGGAAACCAAAAAACCAAAGAACTACCCACCAGGTCCATCATGGCTTCCCGTAGTCGGCAGCGCTGTAGCCCTTTTCAAGGAGCGAAAACTAAACAAATTCCTCTACAAAGCCACAGTCAAGTTGGCAGAAAAGTACAGCCCAAAACATCGAGTTCTTGGCTTAAGAATAGGCAAAGACCGAATTGTGGTCGTCTGTGGGTACGAGAGCATAAAAGAAATGCTCCTAAATGAAGACATTGATGGAAGACCCACTGGTCCATTTTACGAAACAAGAACTTGGGGCGAGAGACGAGGTGTGATTTTAACCGATGAAGAATTTTGGCAAGAGCAGAGAAGATTTGTGGTCAGACATCTTAAAGAATTCGGTTTTGGACGTAAAGCCATGGTCGATCTGATACAAGATGAAGCCGAGCATTTGCTGCTGGATATCAAGTCAAAAGTTGGCACTGGTGAAAAACTTTTGCCTATGCATGATGCTTTTTACGTGTGTGTGCTCAATACTTTATGGTCGATGATGGCTGGTGTTAGATACTCCATCCACGATAAGGAATTACTACAACTTCAAGATCTGCTTGCAGAACTATTTGCTAACATAGACATGGTAGGATGCTTATTCAGCCAATTCCCTGTCCTAAGATTTTTGGCACCAGAACTATCAGGATACAAACGATTTATAAGAATACACAAAAAGCTCTGGGAATTTTTGAAAGAAGAACTGGATAAACACAAACAGAATTTGAAGGCAAATGATGAACCTAGAGATTTTATGGATGTTTACTTAAAAATGATAGCGTCGCAAGAGAAAAATAGTTCGTTTTCTGAAAAACAATTGTTAGCTATATGTATGGATATGTTTATGGCAGGTTCTGAAACTACGAGCAAAGGTCTTGGATTTATGTTTTTGTACTTGGTACGGAATCCTGATAAACAAAGAAAGGCTCAGGCTGAGATTGATGCAGTGATTGGCAGAAACAGACTGCCTACGTTGGAAGATAGACAAAGGTGGGTAATATATTATTTAAAAAAAATAAAAAAATCTGATTCGCTAATTTTATGTTTTCCCGACGTTGAAAGCCATTCTGAATCGAATGAGACCAAATTTGGAAAAAGTATATGTGTGTATATATTTGTGTGTGTGTGTATGTGTGTGTATTTGAACAGATTTTTTGTCGTAAATCGACGTTTCCTCAAAAACGGCTTGACCGATTTCAGAAATTTAAAAGCCATTCGATGTCTCTACTCTATGAAGATTAGCGTTTATCAAATTTTCGCGATAATCAGCCAAGCCGTTTCTTTGAAAATAGCAGAAAAGTGATAAATTTTCAATCCACGTTTGAGCCCGCAATTTTGAATCGATTTTGAAAATTCAAAAACCGTTCGAAAGATATTGTTCATTAGTTTTTGGTAAAGATCGGCCGGGTCATTTTCTTGTAATGATGTGCTGAAAAATTTTATGGGGCGATTTTTATGATTTTTTTTTTGGCGGTAGAGACCATAATCTTATAGATCATACTAAAATATTACGGCCATACGACAAACCGTTTAATTTTAAAAATTCGTCAAAATTTGCAATAATTAGTATCGTTTTTTTAGCGTTTGTCAAAATTAGACTTTTGATCGGCGTTTGCTCAAAAACGCCTGAACCGATTTCAGAAATTTAAAAGCCGTTCGATATACATCAATGAGGACTAATGTTCTTCAGTTTTATGCGACAATCTGCCGAGACGTTTCTTTGTAATTCAGAAAAAAGTGTTAAACTTTTCGTCCACATTTAAGCTCATACTACCGAATCGATTTAAAAAATGAAAAACTGTTCTAAAGATATTAGTTGGGAATGATAGTGATTAGTTTTAGGTGAAAATCTACCGAGCCGTTTTTTGGTAATTAACTGTTGAAAAAAAAATTAAGCCGCTTTTTATGTAACTTTTTTTGGCGATATATATCATGGTCTTATAAAACTTACTGAAATATTACGGCCTTACCATTAGTAATTGAATTTTAAAAACTCATCAAAGTTTGAGAAAATGAGTAGTTTTTTTTACTTTTGTTAAAATTAAAATTAGACGATTTACTTGTTACAACGATAGAGTATTTGGTCTTAATGAACATACTAAACAATTAAAGTCCTACGGAAACTGGTTGAATTATAAAAATTGTTGTTTTTTGAAAATTTGCTTTTAGAAAATACTCCGATTAACGTGTTCGTTCGTTTTCAATTATGTGTAATAAATCCACTCGAAATACTCCTAATCACTCATAAATTAATTTATATTTTATTGATTAAGTCGATTATTTAAACATTTCGGGAAGTTCATGCAACTTGCCTTAAGGCTAAATGCCCCTTTTAACTAGTTTTATAAGCATAATTTAAACAATTATATTTTATTTTGCAGTATGCCTTATTGCGAAGCCTTGGTAATGGAAGCAATTCGATTGTTCATGGGAAGAACATTTGGAATACCACATAGAGCTTTAAGGGATACTAAACTTTGTGGTTACACCATACCAAAGGTAAAAGAACCCTTATAAAAATAAATCATACCAATATTATAATTGAGTTTGACACTTACCTTTCAAATATAAAAAAAATCTATAAATCCAATTATCTATTCTAGGATGCAATGGTGATAGCAAACTTCCACGGAATCCTGATGAATCCTCGCCACTGGGACGATCCTGAAGTCTTTCGTCCTGAAAGATTCTTGGATCCTGTCACTGGTAATTTGATCTCACCAAATTACGAACAATACATTCCGTTCGGTCTTGGAAAACACAGATGTGTAGGAGAACTTATGGCGAGATCGAATACATTTTTATTTACGATAACACTTCTGCAAACATATACATTTGATGTTCCTCCTGGTGAAGAAATGCCAACTGAAGATGCTGTCGATGGTGCAACACCAGGAGTCCAGCCTTTTAATGCTTTAGTTAAATATAGGGATTGTGCGTAAATTGTAATAAATGATAATTGTTAGTTGATAACAGACATAAACATTCACCTCTGCAGAAATTCTTTAACCATCTAGAATCCTTTTGATCTAATTTTCCTGATGCCTTTAATTATTCCTTCTATACCTGGTGGATTTTCTGAAAATAAAATGGATAAAATGAATGTAGATGATGTACCTAACTACTACAAATGATTGATCAAATTAATTATGTTTAACACGTTAATTGCCACGATAATATCAGAACAATTTTCACATGGGCCATGGTAACTTTATTAGAAAATTTAGTTAAAAATGTATCAAGGGGCCGCATGGCATCGTGCCTTAAGGCAAATTGCTGCAACTTCCCGTACGAGAAAAATAATTTTCTTGAAAAAGACTAAAATTTTTGAGAAAATTTTACTTTGAAAAAATTTGATTTTTTTATAAATTTTATATACTTTTAAATTTTATAAACTCTCTGGGGTCAGACACATATTACAGACATGGCAATTAATGTGCTAAGAAAACAAAATCATGTTCTTAGTATCATTTTCATAAATGTTATTAACAATTTAGTTAAGTTGTTCATATTTATTGTACATAAAATATTGTTCATAAATAAATATCTTAAGATTTGTAAACCAATATAATATTTTTATAGAAAACATTTTCAAAATATTTTTTAGAATTTTGAAAAAGTAAGTTATATTTTATATAATTGTATGCTAAAAAAGTTTTTGTTAAAAAGCTTATTTTATGCCAATGTAAAAACTACAAGAATAAATAAAACTAATAGCTCTATACTTTGTCTTCAAATTTAACTATCACTATAATAATAATTTGCATCTATTAATATTAATTAAAACGCGTTTAGTATTTTAAATATGGGTTTTAATTATAAATTAATAGACATTCATATATATATATATAATATACAAAAAATACATTCAGCTGAATATTTTACTTAATATCAATTTATTTTACACATTCACTTGATAATTATTATTAATAATAACAATCAATTTGTTTAACATTTTTTTCAGTCCTCTTAGTTTTTCGTATCATAGAATAAATTTAGACTCAAGGTAAAGTTAGGCCAAAATAAATAAAATACAGAATGTAGTCATAATTATCTGGTTTGAAAAAAAATTTTTTTATATAAAAGTTCGAACAGTATTTTTTCATATTCTTAGTTTGTGTGATTTTATAACCAACTGTACCGATTTTTGAAACTTAGAAAGAAATTGCTTCGCCATCGACCTCAAGTTCTATATCAAATTCATTCATTTTTTTTAATATGTTTAGATCTTCTAAATACCTACATCCTAAGTCTAAACGTACAATTACATAAATAATATTAAATTTATTAATATCATTTATAAAGAATGTTCAAAATTAATCTAAATTGGCGTTGACCCAGTGAGAAATAATTATTGGTGTTAATTTTACTTCTATCTAAGATATTGTTTTACTAAAAAGTAGAAAATCAGAAAAAAATTAGTTATGAAGCTGAACAAGTATTTTACAGAAATTAATATGAAAGTTTGGCTAATAGAAGTTACATCATATTACTGCTTTTATCGATTTGAGCATTTTTTTGCATTGTTTTAGTGATTAATTATAATAAATTATTTAGAAGCATGACATTAGAATTAAAATTTATAATTGTGAGATATTATCAAATGATATTATTTTAATTATAAACATTACATTGTTAAAATAAATTAAAAGTTAGTTGAATAAAATTCTAAATTGTTCTTAAGTTTGCAACAACAATTAAAAAACTATCAAAAAAATATCACATTAATAAAATGATTATTACATAATATTTTTTATTTAATTATTGAATAAATAAAAGGTTTTTCGGGTGAATAATATTTAATTAAAGTTTTTTAAATAAAAAAGAATTATAATTTTAAGCGCATATTTCTGAAGTTCCAAAAAATTATTTTAGGTATGATTAAAAATAAATAATTAAAAAATATATATTCCTTTACAAATATGTTTTTATTTGTAAAAGCGAAATATGTATATATATTTATTTATAACCGAAAGAAAAAAATTGTTCGAAATACGATTTGTACGTTAAAAAAAATATATAAAACATAAAGTAAAATACTTTTTTTTGTAATCAAGCAATTTTTACAAAATTAAGGCTTTTAGATGACAAAAATAAAAATATCTTTACTAATACGAAATAAATAATATTAAATCCCAAAAAATAAATATCTGTTCATGACTTTTTTCGCAATTATAATCTAAGAATATTTTTAATAAATAAAAATTAATTATTTTTCACTTAAGAACATTTTACAATTAGCATTTTCTTGGCTTGTCCGAATTTAAATAAAATATTATATTAATTAAATAATTTACAGCACATTTACAAATAAACAGTAAATATTCATATTTTAAGTTAAAAACGACATGAAAAAGCTTGTTTATTAAAATTATGTAATAATTTTGTATATTTACTTAAATAAATTTTGTATTTAAATCATATTCTATTTACTTGATTTCCCCCCCACAAATTTTGTTTAAATATTTTTAGTGCAAAATATTTGTGCTAAATCTTATTTTTATTCTTATGATATAATTGAGCATTTTTTTCATAAAGTCGCATTTAATACTGTAATTGTATAATTTTTAGACAAAAAAACTGCAAGTAAAACAATTTTAATCGAATTAAAAGTTTGTCTTCAACAATTTTTTCTGCAATTATTTTTATCGTGCTCTTAGTAAGTAAAAATTATTTGTTCTGGTAATGAGTTTATTAAAACCAAATATTTTTCTAATTTGAGTCAAAAGTATATGTCAATAGATCAATCACGTAAATTCATGACTTTAGTTGATAAATAAAAAAAACTAAACATTTTTTTCTGTGGTATGCCAAAATGTTCATAAACCTTCAGAACGTTTAAGAAATGCAAAAAAATTCAATTTCTATTTTCGGACGATTACGATAACTTACCATACGAAAAGTTAAAAAATATAGTTGTTTGTGGAAAAGAATTTTCAAAAACTAAAAACAATCCCTTTATCCAGTCTTTTTTATTTTTTTATTTATTTTTATTTTTTTATTTTTTACCATTTTATCAAACTGCTACTTTTTCATGCCACTTTTTCCTACAATCATCCAAAAAAACACATTATTATAATAACAATAAACAACTAGAATATCAATATACATAAATTTAAGAATAAAATTCTTATTCTCATATTTGGTATGATATACGACAACATTTTTTAGTCATTGAAGATACTCTTAATATTAAAATTATATGGAACGACGTTGCTAAAATATTAAATATTTTTGCAAAAATACTATACGATAGATTCATATTTGTGTGAATATGATAAAAGCATATTTTTTTAATAGATATATAATGCACATAATTTTTTTATATTTTGGTCCTACATGCAAATTAAAATTTGCAATTCTAGAAAATAAAGAAGCTTATATACTACGACAGCGAAACCAATCATGTTAGAAAACGTGCATGGAATTTTTTTCTTTGGTAAAATAATAAGTGTTTTAATTTGAATTGTCACAAAGATGGAATTTTATTTAATAAAAATATTTTTTTTAATATAAATATTTTTTGTAATTACATGGGAAATGAATTTTACTCAAATAATGCCATTTTTGTAAGAATAATTGAATTTTTGTAAATATAAGGACTTTTGTAAAAATAAATAATATCTAAAAAAAACACATTTTTATGATAATTAGGAGGCGTACATTAAACATGTGAGATTTTTAGGGGAAGGGGGGATTTAACAAAAAATCACGAAATATCACTTGGGGGAGAGAAGGGTATAGTAAGATATCACGTGCATTTATTTGTTAGCTGAATGTTTTAAAAAAAAATCCAAACATTTTCAAAGAAAATAAAAAAAAATACAATTTATCTTATAACTAAAAATACACGTGATATTTGCTAGGGGAGGGCGGGGGGTAATTTTGAATATCACCACGTATCATCAGGGGGAATGGGGGTTCCAAAAAACATAAAAAATCGAACACGTGATTAATGGACGCCCCATTATAAGTATAATAATTTTAAAAAAATCATAAATGTGGTGAAAAAAGGTCTGCTAATTTTTTTTATAATTGTAAGTAAATTTTATCTTCTAAAAATACTCTTTTATGAAATTAGTAAATTTTTTTTTACGAAAATGCTAATGGGGCGTCCATTAATCACGTGATCGAATTTTTAGGGATTTTGAACCCTTGGTAAAACTTGGTGATATTTAAAATAATCCCCCTACACCCCCCAAACATCACTTTTTTTTGAATTTACGAAAAAAACGTAATTTTTTTTATTTTTTTTTAAATATGGGTAAAAAATAAATACAAGTGATATCTAACTAAACCTTCCCCTCCTTCGCGTGATTTTTCGTGATTAATGGACGCCTTCTAATTTTATTTAAAAACAATGTTTTTTTTTTTGAGACAATTCGTTTTTCAGATGTTTATAAAACAATCATTGTTTATTCAATTAAATTAAATTTTATTCAAACTAAACCCAAATAAAATAACAAAAAAACGTTCTGGAGATCTATACTTATCAAATTATTTTTATAAAAAAAATTAGTATTTGTTATACGATATTTATTTTATAATATTTTTAGGTTCTATTCTAAAATTTGTAAATAAATTTTTATTAAGGGGGTCTTCCTATGTGATGAGTTGAAAAAAATGAATTTTTTTTTATTTCATATTTCGGTAGATTATACCTTTAAAAATAACATATTAAAATTTCAAATCGATATCTCAAATAGTTTTTGAGTTACAGCCATTTAAAAAGTATACATATAGTATATAGTACAACGATCATTTTATCTTTAAACGCGTTTTTCTCAAAACTGTGTTTTTCAAACTTGTCTCCATTGTATCTCAGAAACGGCTGGACCGAATTACTTGAAATTTACAGGGCACACTCAATATATTTAAACGCATGGAATGAACTATTATCAATCAAAAATTTCAAAACTTCGATTTTTTATAGTAAAAAAACAAAAAAAAAACGCCTAATTTGCAACTTTTATTTCAAATGTCTATAAAACATCCAATTTTTTTTATATTCATTTGATTGTAGTTCATTCCGTGCTTTTAATTACAAATTAAAACGCCGTTTATTTTTTTTTGGTCAGATAAGCCGATCAGCCGGAATCGTGGAGACAGTGGGAGCTCTTTTTTTCGAGGCGGGGGTGTTCAGAGCGCTGTAACTCTAGTTTGACTGAATATTTTTATCTGAAATTTTATATTTATACTGTCCAAATATGTATTAATAAATGATAAAAAACTTAAAGCTCTAACTATTTACTGGTCGTAGAAAAAAAATCTAAAATATCCCTAAAAAACAGGCCGTCACATAGGAAGACCCCCTTAAGAGATACTTTGATTCGATAAACATCTTGAACGAGTCTGTAATATTTTTTAATAAATTATTTAAATTGGAAAAATTTTAGCATTTGTGCCAGAACTTTAAATTAATCCATGGTGACTTAATAAATGTGAAATTATCAGGATTTAAATTATTTAAGAAATTTCTGTAGAAGAAACCAAATCTTAATCACAAAAATAAAAAATAAAGAAATAATTCTATTCCAAAAACTTGTATAAATAAATAAAATAAATAAAATTTCTTCTAATTTTCAGTCATAATTTGCAAACTAAAGAAAAAATCTTCACACACGTTCCTTCTTTCGACATCACATTTACTTATAAATTGTGCACAAAAATATTTATTTTAAATATACAATTACCATGTGTATGATTTAATAAACGACAAACACACCAAAACAGTTAAACATACACACATCTACATCATTGCACAATTTATTTATAATACATAATTATATTTATACTCTTTCAAAATTTACAAAATTTATCACAGATCAATACTCTCAAGCTATCATGGTTTCAGACAAATTTTGATTTTTGGGGACTCTAAATCTTGCCAATTCGTAATATTGCGAGATAATAGATGATTTACTTGGTTTAGGTGTAATTTGTATATAATCGTTAATATCTATATTATCTATAGCATTGTCTATAAAATCTTTTGAATTCGAAGCATTGTTGCTCAAATTTCTACTGGCAATATTAAATTCGGTACTAACTCTATTTGGAGATGAATTCACTAGTCGTCTATTAAAATTATCATCATTTCCAGTTTTATTAACTATACTACTAAAATTCTTACCACCTTTTTTGGATTCTGTTTCATTAAAATCTATAAAACCTGTTTTATAAAATCCTTGGGATGAAGTTCTCAATTTTCTTATGGCATTGGAGATAGTTGTCTCGAAGTCGTTGATTCCTTTGGATTTTAAAGTTTTTGCAAGTGCACCAAAATTTGATATGTCAGATGGGTTGTCTAGGACTCTCGGACGAGTTTTGTTTTCGTTTTTATCGATTTTGATAAAAGGTCACCTGTTTTCATCACTTACTATATGGATCTGTGAAAAAACAACTCAGCACATAAATCTCATTTACCATTTACATTTTACTAATATTTTATCCTCACCTCGCTTAGTATCGCCCAGTTTTCAGAATCAGCATGTACCTTAAGTCTGATAGCAGCAATTTTCCAAATTCAGGGTCGTCCAGAGTACCATAAGCTAGACCAGTAGAATCAAACTTACTTACAATTATAAAACCATCATTTGTGGAATTGTAGCGAGATCCGACATCATAAATTACTTTTGGAGATGCTGGTAAAACCTCTACAGTAGTATTGTAGAATCTGTCTGATGGATGTTCTGCGTTGCCACTTCGGAAAAGATAACTGAAAAAAAAGAATAAAATAGTAAATCTACACGTCCATTCCATGTGCCAGAATTAAAATATACAAAAAGGGATAATTAACTTCCCAAAGGAAAAGTTTCTGTTTCCATCAAAAAATCCGATTCGCTAGTTTTATGTTTTCTCGACGTTTCAAGCCATTCTGAATCGACTGAGACCAAATTTGTATGTGTGTGTTTGTGTGTGTATGAACATATTTTTTGCCGTAAATCAACGGTTTCCTAAAAACAAATCGAATGATTTAAAAAATTTGAAAAGCTATTCGATATATCTCGATGAGGTCTAGTGTTCATCAATTTTGCGCGACGATCAGCAAAGCCGTTTCTTTGTTAATAGCAGAACAGTGAAATAATTTTCGTCCACGTTTTAGCCCGCAATTCTGAATCGATTTTGAAAATTCAAAACCCGTTCGAAAGATATTTGTTCGAAATCGCGCTGATTAGTTTTTTTTGGCTATAGATACCATGGTCTTCTAGATCATACTAAAATATTACGGCCCTACGACAAATTGTTTAATTTTAAAAATTCGTCAAAGTTTGCAAAAATTAGTATCGTTTTTTTGGCATTTGTCAAAATTAGACCTTTCATCGACGTTTGCTCAAAAACGCCTGAACCGATTTCATGAATTTAAAAGCCATTTGATGTATCTTAGTGAAGAACAGTTTATCTGTTTTGTGCGACGATCTGCCGAGCCGTTTCTTTGTAATTTGAAAATAAGTGTTAAACCGTGTTTCGATTTTAAAAAATCAAAAACTGATCTAAGGATATTAGTTATAAATAATATTGATTAGTTTTAGGTGAAAATCTACCGAACCGTTTTCTTGTAATTAACTGTTGAAAAAAAAATTTAAGCTGATTTTTATGAAACTTTTTTTAGCGATATATATCATGGTCTTATAAAACTTACTGAAATATTACAGCCTTACGACTAGTAGTTTAATTTTAAAAATTGATCAAAGTTTGAGAAAATGAGTAGTTTTTTGGCTTTTGTTAAAATTAAAATTAGACGATTTACTTGGTATAACGATAGACTACTTGGTCTTAATGAACATACTAAACCATTAAAGTCCTACAGAAACTGGTTCAATTGTAAAAATTATTGATTTTTGAAAATTTGCTTTTAGAAAATACTCCGAGTTAACGTGTTCGTTCGTTTTCCATGATATATAACAAATCCACTCGGAATACTTTTAATCACTCATAATTTTTTTTTTTTATTGATTAAGTCGATTATTTACACATATCGGAAAGTTCCTGCAACTTGCCTCAAGGCAAAATACCAATACCAACAAGTTTATTGGTAAAATCATAAAAACATTTCTGGCAAATGGAACAACAATCGTCTACCTCTTTACTGCAATTGGTTGTTTAAATTTAAATAGAAGACTATCTCCTGGTTCTGGCAAAAGACCCCAGAAGTATCCCTCTCCTGCATAAGCTTTTGCCAAAGTGTTCTGCTTGTAGGCTGCTATTCCTGTCTGGACATCAGCTGGAGGATTTTTGTGAGGAATGTACAGAGGTACTTTTCCAAATTGTTTATCCTGGGAAGAAAAAAATAAAAAAATGTATAACATGTCAATTCTTAAAGTCGATTTCTTAAAGAAGTCACATAGAAATAAAGAAAAAAATTTGAAGGTCTAAAAATATTTGAATTATATTGGCAATGTGTTAAGTCACCACCTATTTGATATTCATATAAGAATTCTTTAACAATGAGAATTAGAATTAGAAAAAATAAATAATTAAAGTGGATTAAGTGACAGAAATTTCTACAAACAGTTGATGGTCGATTCCTTAATTTATTAAGAAAACAAATTGTTAAAACTTACTTTCAACTTTTGAACTTTTCCTTTGAGAGACGAATGCATTCCAATGTGTTGGAACAAACTGGGTTTGTAATGTATCCACACTTTGGCCTTTTCTTTCTTACAATGTTTCTGAAAAAAAAAATCATATATAAATTTTTAAATTTATCAACATAGTTATATAAATTTAGTTCGTTTCAAATTTTCATTGCACTATTAGAAAAAATAATGAATAAGATAGTATTTGAAAAATTAGTTATGAAAAATTGTAAATTAATGTAATTATTTTGTAAGACATTTGATAATACATAAATCTGTCCTTAAAATCGATACTTTGTATAAAAAATGTAATGTAATGTAAATGTAAAAAATGTTAATGTTCGATTATTAAAAATTACGAAACAATATTGTCTTTGATTATTGACAAACGTAGTATAAGTAATAAGTATCAATTATTATATCTTCTAATTAGAATAAAAATACACTTACACTATCTTTTTCCCAATTACATATTTTTGTGGAAATAAGATGATCCAGTAACCAGTCCACAGGTTTATCATTATAGAACATTTGGAAAAATGTGATTAACCATGGTAATTCGGCTGATTTAAACATTTTACCTGCAATAATGCATAATATATAATAATTAGTTAGAGTACAAACATGTTTCATAAAATAAATAATATATATAACTAGTGGTGCATGGCATCGTGCCTTAAGGCAACTTGCTGGTAATACCAACAATTTGATATTCTTTTTTCGACTTCATATAATTACCAAAAATTAGAATGTTTAAAAAAGCTTTAAAAACTTTTGTAAACTGGAAAATTGAGATATTTGAAAATTTTGAAATTTATGAGAAAAAAGACTTAAAAAATTAAATTTTTTTATATTCAAAATTTTTTTGAAAAATTTGAACATTTTTTCAAAGCAATAGTGCTGCGTGGCTGTCATAGAGACGAAATATCGAAGCGCGTAAACGTCGCGTCGCAGTCTAAAGTCTTTGCTTTGAAAAACAAAGTTCAAAATTTCTAAAATATCTCAAAATAAAAAAAAAATTGTTTTCAAGTATTTTTTTTCCAAAGAAGTCAATTTCTTTCAAAAATTTGAAATTTCTCAAAAATCTAACAAGTCAAAATCTTTTTTAAACAATTTAATTTTTGTTACGAAAAATTCCAGCAATTAGGGCACCATGCCATATACCACTAGTTGAATCATTCAAATCGGTTAATCTGTATTCCCAAAATCGTTAACGAAAATTTGTACCCGCACACAAACATACATCATTTTTTTTCTAAGGTATGCCAAATTGTTCAGAAACTTTTGAAACGTGAAGAAATATAAAAAAATTATTTTCGATTTTTTTCTATTACAATTATTTACCCCATGGAAAGTTAAAAAAAAATATAATAGAATCAAGGCGTAATTATAAAGCATTTAGATGCCTATTAAAACACGTTTGTTTTCACTTATATATCTTTTTCTATCTAAAATATTATATATATATATATATATATATATATATATATATATATATAAGGTATGTAAATAGTAATTATAAACTGCAAACGCAAACCATAATGAACACAATAAATAATGACCGGCATAGATTAAACCGTGAATAATACAATATTCAACCCTTAAACAAGATAAATGGAAACTAACCGAGCAAATGCGGTGAAATAACTTTAATATCTGAATAATTATAGTGTCCTAGGTATTATTTAACTTTCTACATATATTATTATCGCATTTATGTCGCAGTCCAACCAGCCTGGAGGCAAAAAGAGCCAAAATTTTATTTTAAATTTTGAAAATATTTTACAGTATTATAGCTAGATAATTTAATCAATGTGGTGCAATAATTATAGTAGCTGAATTAAAATAAGCACTAGTATCAACATCTATTCCTACAGTAAATATATGATGAGCTCATACAATAAATCCTAATAATCCAATAGCTAATATAGCATAAAATATTCCTAAAGTTCCAAAAGTTTCAATTTTTCCTGATTCTTCAGAAATAATATGCGAAATTATTCCAAATACGGGTTAAATTAAAATATAAACTTCAGGATGTTCAAAAATGCCGTTTAATTATTTGGTTGGAGACGAAAATTAAAAGGGCGGGACACAAAGGTCCAATTTGTTTTAGCAAGTATTTGTTAAAACTAAATTACATCACAACAAATAGTTCAGTAAAACTCCCAGGTAAATTGTTACTGAAATATTTTTCATTTTTCAAAAAAATGTAAACCAAGTCCATAGGCACAGATTACAGAACTTTGCAAAGAGTATTCGTCATCATTTTTTAAACCTAATTTACTCTTTTATTTATTATTTTTTATTGTTCACACTTTTGTCAGAGTAAAGATTCAATTTGTCCTTTTTACCCCACCCATTTGTAAGCTTTTAAATGGGTTATATGAAAAAAAAACTGTTAAATCGCACTTAAAAATAACAATACTTATTATAAAACACAGAACTTTGCAAAGAGTATTCGTCATCATTTTTTTTAACTTAATTTACTCTTTTATTTATTATTTTTTAATTTATTCAATTGGTCCTTTTTACCCCACCCACTTGTAAAATTTTATATGGAATATATTAAAACTGTTAAATCTAACTTAAAAATAACAAAACATCTTATAGAACAATTAATTAATGTTTGTTTAAAAATTATATTTAGGTCTAGTAAACTAAACAACAGTGCTCACAACCAAAAAAACTAATAACGGAAAAAATACTTTTTTATGGATTTTATGAAAAAAAAAATTATGGAAAAAATACTTTTATAAATATTGCCTTTTTATCGACGAAGCAAAAATCAAGACTGGTTATACATATTTTGCCCCCTACTTTCAAATATTGTTGTTAAAAAATTCTTAACTTCACTCGTTTTTGAGATATCAGTGGTCGACCTTTGTACTCGCGGATCTTTAAGCCCCTATATATATAAAATCCAGGTCTTCTATCATTATGATTGACACAAACATATTTCCTAGTCCTTGAAGTATTTCTTCTTATATAATATTTCTTCTCAGAAATATTTTATATTTCTTAGTTCTTATGATGAAAACGCAAAACGAGCACCAATCATTATTTTTTCTCACTTTGCGTGTCCTTTGTATATTACGTGTCTTTTTCCACTTTGAGTCTGTCAGTGGTTCTTAACATTTCTGAATTAGGGGTGATAAATTACATCCCTTATCAGAAGGGCTTATATGTCTTCCTAAGACAGTGGCATTATGTAAGGATATGCGTGATAAAATATTTAGAGCATGGATCGTGGGCATGCCATCGTGCCTTAAGGCAAATTGCTGGAACTTCCCGTACCAATTTTTTTTTTTTAAAGAATAACATTTTTGAAAAAAAATTACTCTGAAAAAATTAGATTTTTGAAAAGCTATAAATTTTTGACAAAAATTTACTTTGTTTTGAAAAAAAAAGACTTTTTGAAGAAAAATGTACTTTGAAATATTTTGGAAATTCTGAACTTTTTTTCAAAGCAATCGTACTGCTTTAACTGCATAGAGACGAAATATCGAAGCGCGTAAGCGCCGCGTCGCCGTCTAACCGATAAACGCTGATACGGAACCCATAGGAATGTAAACAAAATTTATACTTATTATTAAAATCTCTATAAAATATCTGATAATTTGATGTGCATATGTCTAATGGTCATTTTTGACCGCCAGATGGCATTTTTTGTTACCTTTTTTACTAGATATCCGAAACCGCTAGACCTACTTTATGAAAAGTTCATCAGTTCTTCATCTTGTTAATACAAGTAAAATGTTTTTTGAATAATTTAAATCGAACGCTCCGTTCTCTTAAAAACTGAGTTTTTGGCACTTTTTGCCCCATATCTTCGGAACGGCTAGACCTGCTTTGCCAAAAACTAATCAGCACGTCTCCTTATCAATACAAATCGAATGTTTTTTGAATTATGCAAATCGCTTCATCCGTGTTCTCGAAATCGTCAACGAAAATTTGTATCCAAACACACACACACACATGCACACACACACATGCACACACACATATATCCATTTTTTTTAAGGTATGTCAAAATGTTCAGAAGGTTTTGAAACGTAAAGATGTATAAAAATTTTCATTTTCCATTTTTTTGCGATTACTATAACTTGCCCTACGGGTAGTTAAAAATATAAAAAATTAGATTTAGATTAGAAATTGAGAAATGTTGAAATTTTTTAAACAAAAAATGGCATTTTCGCAAAATTTTATTTTTTTGTATTTTTTTTGAGAATTTTTAACATTTTTTTCAAGTAATCGTGCTGCATAGCATATTTGGAGTCGAAATTTTGGCACTTTTTGCTGCGTCTCCTTATCAGTAGGAATTGAATGTTTTTTGTATTATTCAAATCGGTTGATCCATGTTCGCAAAATCGTCGTCGAATATTTGTATCCGCAGACGCACATACACGCACACACACATTTTTTTTTTCTAAAGTATGCCAAAATGTTCACAAGTCTCTAAAACGTAAAGATATATAAAAATTTTCATTTTTGGTAAGTTCGAAGATCGGGGCTTAAAGATCCGCTGTTAAAAGGTCCACCGCCAGTATACAAAAAATTAAAATATAACATCATAAATAAATTTTCCTTTCCTACCAATAAATCCCAGTTGGCAGAAATCCAACGCGAACCACGGTTCCTTCCTCGCGGTTTTTTCGATGGCATAATTCTTCATGGAAGAAATAAAATTTTTCTTAGCCAAGATATCGTCTTCTAATTGTACATAAAACGTGGCCTTAGTTTGAGCATAGGTCATTAAATAGGCAAAATCCAAATTTTGCTTCGTTCTCCATCTGACTCGTTCGATAGGATCATCTAGGGTTATCCTTAATTTGTCCAAATTTGGATAATAGGAGGGATGTGGTGCTAGGACTTCTAGTAAACCAGAGGAAACCTAAAGGAAAAAAATGGTAAAGTTTTTATATATTCTTATAAAAATATTTTTTTGCTTTTTTTACCTGTTTAGGAAACCTCAACTCTATTTGTTTAGCAACTAAAAGCACATAATCCAAATCGGTTTCTGCCACAAAAACAATAACTATGGAGTCATCAGCTTCTGATTTACTCATGGCTTCCATCAAATTTTGGAGAGTCGTCATTAAATAACTTTGTTTGTCCCTTTTCACAGTCGGAATTCCTAGTAAAAAAATAAAAATATTCAGTGAAAAACTTAATAATACAACTTTGAAGTAAAAATGATATGATAGTAAATTATTGGTAAATTTCTACTATTTTCTATTTATTTGATGTATCGTCCTGAGGATTTTCCCACACACAAGCATATATATCCGCTCTTTAAAAATTTTTAATTGATCATGCAGCTTAAATCGATAAACTTTACGCTTTTTTCCAAGTTTTTTTTTTCAAAACTACGACGACTATCCAATTTAAGTTCATACAAAAAGAGTTCTCAGTCAAACTACTTCACAGAAACTCTGATCATTCATCTCTTATGAATAATTCGCGCCGTACTTTGTAAGGAATTCTAAGGGTAGATACCCTTCCTAGGATTTGAAACTATGCAGTGCCAGTTCATGGAACCCACATTAATCTTCAGAAAAACAACCAGAGTGAACTTTATATATATATATATATATATATATATATATTATGGACTTTGCCAAACTATTAAATTAGGAAACTAACGATGCGTGCAGAATTTCAGTCGGATTGGGAATAGATGCAAAATTGGGAATAGATAGATGATAATGGTAAAATCGATTGAACATAAATTACTTAAGGATGTGCATATAAATAAGAACTAGGTGTGAACGGCATTTTGTCTTAAGGCAAGTTTCATGAACTTCCCGATATGTGTAATAATCGACTTAATCGCTTTCACTAGAAACTAAACTAGTGCATTAAGGCAAATTGATGGAACTTCCCGTTGCAAAAATTGGAGTTTTCAACAAAAATTCAAGGGTTTTTTTCAGAATTTTGAAAAATAATGGATATTCGACATTTTTAAAATGTTTGAAAAACATTTAGATTTTTGAAAAGTTTTAATTTTTTATACTTTTTGAAAATTTTGAACTTCTTTTTAAAAGCAATCGCAATACGTTAGCCACGTAAGAACGAAATATCGAAAAATAATAGCTACGTAGAAAAAAAATTATTCTTATTATTAAAATTTCTATAAAATATTTGATAATTGCATGTGCATATGACAATGATCATTTTTGTCCGCAAAATGGCATTTTTTTTTACTTTTTTATTGAATCTCCGAAACCGCTATACCTGCCTTTACAAAAATTTCATCAGTTCTTTTGTCAATACAAGTAAAATGTTTTTTGGCGGCTAAACCTGCCTTTGCCAAAAACTAATCAGCACGCCTCCTAATGAATAGGAATCGAATATTTTTTGAATTATTCAAATTGGTTGATCTGTGTTCTCGAAATCGTAGATGAAAAATTGTATCCGCACATACGTACACACACGCACACATACACACACACACTAACACACACATACATCAATTTTTCTAAGGTATGCCAAAATGTTCAGAAACCTTTGAAACATTTTGATACATAAAAAATAAAATCATTTTCGTTTTTCAATATTGCGATTTCAATCTCAAACACATTTATAATACACGTAATTGTATTAATTTAGTGCACAAATACGTGTTTGTATCTCTATAAACCAATTTTCGTAAAACATTTTTTTCAAAACTTAATAAACTAGTTGAAAGTGGCATTGAAAGTGGAAATGTGTCAAGAATTGACTTAATCAATCGAAATTGAAATTTAAATATTCAGGTAATATTTTCAACTGTTTATTTCAAAAATAAAGTTATCGATTTCATTTAAATCTAAATCCGGGACAAATATTGTTTTTATTAAAACCCGGGACACAAGGTGGAAATCCGGGACTGACCCGACCAAACCGGGTTGCATGCCCACCTTAAAAGTACGTCTCCGAAAATGTCTTCATCTTTTTAAGTTCTACAATAAGATCACGACCCAAGTATATTTCCTCATTTGACCTTAAGAAGAAATCCTCTGACATTTTCTCTCACGTGCCGTCCATGTATGATATTTCTCCGGAGTTATCTAATATTCCTGATGCCAGATGTGATGTAGTCATGGAAACAAATCAATAATGTCATACAATGTCGGTCTACGGAAACGTAGCTGTATCGTAGCACAAGTGCAACATCAAGGTGCACTGGTGTCTGTTCTTGTGCTAACAAAGTATTGTATATTAGAGAGAAATAGTGTGAGAGCTGGTGTAAATTTATTAACTTTCCGAAGAAAAGTGAAAAATAAATCGTTTACGTTTTAGCCCGCAATCCTGAATCGATTTTCAAAATTCTAAAAGTGTTCGGAAAATATTGGTTGGGAATCGTGCCGATTAGTTTTTCTTGTAATAAAGTGTTAAAAAAAATTTTCGACGATGTTTATGATTTTTTTTAAGGTAGATACTATAGTAATATAGACTCATACTCAAATATTACAGCCCTACGACAAATATTTTAATGTAAAAAAATTATCCAAGTTTAAGAAAATATTATAGACAAAACTTGTGTCATAAGTTACTTTTGTGATGTGATGAGTTAAACAATATCAATTCATTAATATTTAAAATAATAAACTACGATTTTAGGGCATACAATAGCCCGTGTCTGTGCAATATTTTAATTAATAAATTTAAAAGTGTTTGAGAAAATTCTATTCGAAATCGCAATGTTTAGATTTTTTTTCGCGGATTGACCCAGGTTTCCAAAAAATATAGGTCTTTAATTGAATCATCGTAATTTCTTGATGATAAAATTCCAAATACCCATCAAATATCCGAAAATGATATATATATATATATATATATTAATATATATATTATGTTACAATTGGATCATAATGTATATCATTCTCAGATTGTCTTAAGACAACGAGTATGCTTATTAATACGAATGAATTAATATGTTATGAATGAGAAAATTGGCGATTACAAAATTCGAAAGACGGTCTAAAATAGTTTCTCATCTTAATAATTTCAATTTCAATATCACAAAAATTAGCAGAAATATAAAAACAGATTTTTTGACTACCTGACATAAGTAGTATTTTTTTCAAGGAAAATAAAATTTTATACAAGACTCAAAGTGAAAAAAAATGTAGATCTAAAATTGTATGATTGTGAATTAAAAAATAATGGATTCAAGGAATTTTTAATAGCCAGTATTGCTTAAAAAAGGTTTATTAAAAAAAACTGCATTTTATTTTTTTGTAGGACACGAAATATAAAAGTGCCTTCAAAGCTATCGCAGCTCATTTTATTTAAAATGTTGATATCCATGTAAATAATAATTTTTATTATATTATTAGAGTAAATTTCATCTAGTTTTATAAACTTATTATAATGCATAATATGAAAATTAAAGTTAATTGGAAAAATGTAAAAAAATGTTCTAATTCCACATATTATGGAAATCTAAAGTACGCATTTCAAGTACGAAGTATTCACATATCAATATCCAAATGTATATAACAGTTTCTACCAGATTTTATTAAATTTAATCTAGCTTGTTCTATTGTAAACAAATCAAAATGTCCTAAATGAAAATTAAAAGTTATTTGAAGAAATGTGAAAAAATGTTCTAACCCCATATATAACAAATTAGCAAAATACTAAAGTCCACATTTCAACTACGAGTTATTCCAAATTTTAATATCCAAGTGTATATAAGATTTTTTAATATATTTTAGTAAATTTTATCTAGATTCTACTAATGTGAACAAATTATAATGTCCGTAATAAAAATTTGAAGTTATTTAAAGGACTGTGAAAAAATGTTCTAAATCCATATATTGCTGGAAATACTAGGGCCCGCTATTTCAATTAGGAATTATTCAAAATTTCATTATAACATATGTTAATAAATTATAATGCCCCGAATAAAATCTTTAAGTTATTTGAAAAAATGTAAAAAAGGATGAAAACGTGTTAAAATATTCTCTTTCTCTGCATTCCAACAATAACATTTTTTCCTCAAATTTAGACAATTCCTGTAATAAAGAAATATTTTTGAATCCATTCCCTTTCGATGATCAAGAAAGATCATCTCAGCAATTAGTATGCCAAAAACTGAGCGTATAAAAGTACATTTCGCCTTCGTGGTTTCTAAAACATCCTTATATTATTTATAAGATCATTTCCCATTCCGCCCAAAACAAATTTCATCTCGAATTTCCATATTTACCTGTGATGTTACGACTTCTGCCCCGTTGTTATTTTCTTTATGTTCCACTTGGATTATTTCAATTTTCTGTCTGTTGTATTTTTGTCCCAGACAATATGCAAATATACTGTTTCTGTGTATTTACTCTGTTTTGAAATAAATATCATCTGAATACACGGAAAATATGTTTACTTTGAAACGAATTTTTAGGGCACCTGGTTTGTTCATGGGGAAAATGTAGGATGTTCTGGTTTTATTGATAAACAAACGTTTATTGAAATAGAAATATAATAGACATGTTCGAAATGATAAAATTCTGATACTCTACAAATGGAAAAATGCTTTGTGAAATGAGACGAACCATATGGCGAATAATGTCTTATAATATTATAGAGAATATTATTAACTTTTTATTAATATATAATGATATAATCGCATTTTAACGAAAATTTACGATATTTAGCAAAATTGAAAAAAAACACACCCTAAAAATTTAACGTCGAAGTTTGCGGATGTATTTCATATTCACTATTACTATTATTATATTTATGAAATTCTGTTATAAAAAATAATTGTTTAAAAATACTTGCTGCACTAATGATTCGCAAATACCTACGAAAAAGTTAATTGAAAACTACCTAACTTTTTTAAAATAAAAATTTCTAAAAGCTCCAGATATGTGTGCTTTCTAATTAAGAGAAAATTATGCAAAATGCGTTTTCTCAGCAACATTCAACATACATATGCACTTGAGTACAGACAGTCGGAAAACAGAATATATTACGAGATATTTAAAGTTGAACTGAAAAGCACTCTATGAAAATAATAAAGCAAGACGAAAATTTACATGAAAATTCATTTGGAATTCTCAGTTACACCGTGAAAATTTTCCAGGAGTTATTAAAACAACGAATAATAGATGAAGTTAGTTTCAAAACAGAAATATTATTATAATGAAA